CCCATGCACCAATGGCTATAACATTGCACAATATTAAACAAATAGGTATATCATTTAATACACTAGGTGATATTGATTGAGTCTGAAGTATAAGACAGGAAAAAATATGAACTCCATTCATCAACCAGGAACAACATGGTTAAAGAAAGAAATGTTATTTCTATAAAGTATCTGATTATTTAAAAATCTGTAGTAAATATACATTGTTTTCATGAAAGAAAAAAACAAATCTTGTGGAAAGGATATGCTAAAACTCTGAGAACTAATTTGTTAAATGAGACTAAATTTGCAATGAAAATATTTCCAAAATTTAAGACAAATAAGCAAATTCTAACCTGTAAGTATTATCTTACAAAGATTTTTGATAGTGTACTACAAAGAATGTACTAAAAAGTTAGGTCTCAGTTTAGTGTTCATTTGCGATATTTGCAGTTGGCCAAGGTGAGTCATGTTTATGCTATCATTTGAGTAGTCTTACATGTAGGCACATAAGACTTTCTGAGCATTATTATTATTATTATTATTAGTTGAGGTGGAGTTTCACTCTTATTGCCCAGACTGGAATGTAATCATGTGATCTTGGTTCACTTCAACCTCTGTCCCCCAGATTCAAGTGATTCTCCTGCCTCAGCCTCCTGAGTAGCTGGGATTACAGGCCTGTGCCACCATGCCAGGCTAATTTTGTATTTTTAGTAGTGATGGGGTTTCTCCATGCTGGTCATGCTGGTCTCAAACTCCCTACCTCAGGTGATCTGCCTGCCTCGGCCTCCCAATGTGCATTATTTAAAAAAATAATAAAGCAATAAGCTAGTTCTAAGCAGACATCTATGGGGGAATTTTTTTGGTTAACTCTATTCTTCCAATTGTTTAATAAAACATATTACTAATGGAAACACAGATTATCAAAGAGTCATAATCTTCATACATAATATAATACACTGATCAATACATTCTTATTTAGATTAATCTCATTTATATCTAGATTTGCCTGTACAGGCATGCAACTGCTATTAGTGGGAACATGTTGGGAAAAATATGTCATTATGTGAATACCATAGAGTGTATTTACACAAACCTAGATGGTGTAGCCTTAAACATACCTCTACTGTATGACATAACCTGCTGCTCCTAGGCCAGAAATCTGTACAACATGCTTCTGTACTGACCACTGAAGGCAATTGTAACAGAATGGTAAATATTTGTGTATCAAAACATATGTAAACATAGACACCATACAGTAAAAATACTATTATGTTCTTTTGGGACCACATTCATGTATGTCATCTGTCATTGTACAGATGATTTATTTTATAAACCTGTGATCATAAATATCATAAAGTATTTAAGCATTTATAATTACTTATGTCATATGTCATTTATTTCTATACATATCTCTATATAAGTGTGTATATATATTTACTTGCACATATGTGTACATTGACAGACACGGACATACATATATAATTTACTAAATATTGGAGCATGAAGATTTGATTCTGTACTTTTTTTTCAGATTCTATAAACACATGTAAGTAATTTTATTTAAACTACTACTGTTCAGAGTATGGAAAAAATGAATTGATTTTAGGTTCCCAAGAGTATGTTCATTTTCAATGTCTCACAAACACATTCTAATTGTATTACATTAAAGATTATCTTCAGAAGCAATAAGGGCCAATTTCAGTGAGGCTTTGGGTATTTTACCCAGGAAATTTGCTAATGTATGTAATCAAAGCAAATAATGAGGTATAAACACAGTGAGCATACTGTTTTGTATGAAATATATTCAAATAAAATCTTACTTTGTGCTTCATATTTAGTGAGAAAATCAGTAATGATTTACCAAAATAATTCAGAAAAGAGGTGGTTCTTTGAAGCATAAATCTCCTTTCCCTTTAAAACGGTCAATAAAAACATAGATATACAAATGTATGTGATGCACAGACAGACATCATGCAAACACACAACACAGAGAGCAGAAACCTATAGAAACTGTGGCAAAGAGGCAAAAACCTAGAATGAGCTGAGCTCATCCAAGCATGATAGTAGAAATATTCAATAGGTTTGCAGCAAGACCAACTGGGGAAGAAGAAAACTGTCTCTAAAATCTATAGCCTGTTGTTTAGCAACCAAAAAAGTTGGCATATATGTGCTAATCTAATTTTGCATGTCTTTTCCATTAAGAAAAATTAATTTCTAAATCAAAAGAATATCTTGTAACAGGAGAGCTATTCTTTTAGTTTTGGTATATGAACAGATAACAGATATTCTTCTAATTTGGTATAATAACAGACAACCTTTTGTCTTAAACAGCTAAAACATGAATAAAATACATTCAACAACATTTTTTAATCATTTGACAACAGGTAGAATAGGTGAGTGACCCCTGAGAGGAGGGAAACAGACAGGGTGAACACTTGATTGGTGCACCTATTGCTTGGAGAGCATTTCCAGGATTCAGGGCAGAGAGAGGGTACCCAAACAGAGCCTGGAGCTCTCCAAGAGCTGAAGATACAGGTCAGGTTTCAGGTAAGGTAAGGTTGCTAGAATCTGCAGAGCAAATTACCAAAGCAGAGAGAATTGCGCAAAGAGACAGGAGATTTGCAGATGATTTCTTCTGGAAATTTGCACAAGAGAAACACAAAAAGTCCACAAAAAAGACTGCTACAGAAATGTTCGGTGCGGCCTTTCCCCCCAGATAGCCATAAATTAGAAACAACCCAAGTGTCCATCAAAAAACAAATGGGTAGGCCGGGTGCCGTGGCTCATGCCTATAATCCCGGCACTTTGAGAAGCCAAGGTGGGTGGATCACCTGAGGTCAGAAGTTTGAGACTAGCCTGGCCAAGATGGAGAAACTCCTTCTCTAATAAAAATACAAAAATTAGCTGGGTGTAGTAGTCCGCGCCTATAGTCCCAGTTATTCAGGAGGCTGAGACAGGAGAATCGCTTGAACCCGGGAAGCAGAGGTTGCAGTGAGCTGAGATAGTGCCACTGCACTCCAGCCTGGGCGACAGAGCAAGACTCCATCTCAAAACAAACAGAAAAAAAAAAAAATGGGTAAAAAGATCATGGCATATCCTCTTAATGGAATAATGGAACACTACTTAACACTAACATGAACTCTTTATTTAAAACAATAAAAATGGATGAATGTAGTGAGTTTAATGATGTTTCTCTAAAAAAAAAATGATATTCCTCATGTCTTTTTTTTTTTTTTTTTATTTCCTCATAGCATGGAGGCCTCAGGGTGGTCAGACTGCTGATGTGGTATCACTTTTCAAAAAAAAAAAAAAAAAAAAAAAAAGGAAAAGTACTGAATTTGGTGTTAGACAACATTTGTTAGAGTCTCACTGTGGCAATTTAGTAGCTGTGTGATGTAAATTTGGGCACCTCAACCTTAGATTGCTTAGTGTATAAAATAGGGAAATAGCATTTATCATAGAAAATGTTATTAAGTATCAAATGAACTTTCTAACTTGGAGGTTAGAAAACAAATTCTAACGCAGAATATGATCTCGATAGTTAAATAATTTGAAACCATCTTAGAGATCATTTAGTTCAGCCTCTTGTTTAACAAAAACAGAAAGTCAGTTTCATGTGATTGTTTATTTGGAAGAACCAGGATTAGAATCTTTTTTTCCTAATTCCTCGTCCAGGGTTTTTTCTAATAATTCTTATTAAACAATAAATCACAAATCATTGTTTGGTCTTGTAATTCAGAATAAATCAACTTTCCAAACCATTTTCCCTGTTGTGTAGTAGCCCTTATGCTCTCTGTCTTTGTAGTAGAAAGAAAACCAGGGGAGGACTGCTTAGTGGAAAGTAGAGTAACATCTGTTGCTTAAATTTTCAGCTTATCTGTTCTTGATACTATGCTGCTAACTGATTAACAAAGAGAAAGCCCTCTAGTGAAAGATCAGTTCCAATTTTATCAGACCCGTTTAATGAGGGATAAAGAAAACTAATAAGCCTACGAAGTAAGTTGAAGGAGAGGGTTCATTGAATAAATATTTGAGGGCCTATGTTTTTACGAACAGTTTTGCTGGCACCAGCGATACAGTGGTGAACAAAATAGACTAAAATTCCTACCCTCATAGAGCTTACATTCTAGTGTGTGAGCACTTCATATGCATGAGTGGTTAAAGCCTCTTTTCTTAAGACTTTTTATTTTATGACCTTTTAACTACAGTGCCTTGCAATTCAACAAATGTAATAATAATAAGTTATTAATGGAGGATAGTCTCCTTTCCAACAGTATTTTTCTGCTCCAAGTAAAAGTGGCAAGACTGGGTAACTTTCTTCTGTCACATTTACCTCTATAGTTGTCCAGTTAAGAAGAGCAAATATTGTGACTGTATACCACTACATATTAGCAACAGGAGCTCTTCAATAATGTAGAAAACATCAAAGGCAACATCTATTATGTAGTAACTTTTTTTGGCTTGAATATTGTCTTTATTATTACATTTTTTGTTGTGTTATTTTATTTTGAGACAAAGTCTCACTCTCACCCAGGCTGGAGTGCGGTAGCATGATCTTGGCTTACTGCAGCCTCTGCCTCCTGGGTTCAAGTGATTCTCCTGCCTCAGCCTCCTGAGTAGCTGGGATTATAGGCACATGCCACTATACCCAGCGAATTTTTTGTATTTTTAGTAGAGATGGGGTTTCACCATGTTGACCAGGCTGGTCTTGAACTCCTTGCCTCAAGTCATCTGCCCACCTCAGCTTCCCAAAGTGCTGGGATTACAGGTGTTACCCACTGTGCACGGCCTGTAATTACTCTTATATAGGAATAAAATTGTGGTGATTAATACGTGGGTGTATGAAACTAAATGGGGTTTCTTATTTTGACAAAATGACTAAACATTTAATAAAATTATCTCTCCAGAAATAACTGAAAAGCCCAGTAGTGTAGTATTATTTTATTAAGCTATGGTTATATAAGTGATCAACTATTGTTTTTAGGGAACTGAAATGATACATTGGGTACTTTAAATTTCAATTATTTCTTTACTTTCAGGTATTGAATGCTATGCTAAAAGAAGTCTGTACCGCTTTGTTGGAAGCAGATGTTAATATTAAACTAGTGAAGCAACTAAGAGAAAATGTTAAGTAAGTTAAATTAATCAGGTAAAAAACAGGCATAGCTAAGTTTAATTTATTGGAAAGAGGCACTAACTAGAAATGTTTGCTTTATCAGGAATCATTTGTGCTCTGCAGCACTGCAAAAGTGCTGGGTTAGAGCTCATATGTTGGACAAGTGCATGTGTAGTACGTTTCCATAATGATGGTTCAAAGAATAAACTAATATGATTTTCATTTCGTTACCATTTTTTTTTCTATTTTTCTAGTCTTTTATTTGGATGGATTCGATTAAATACTATATAGTGATTTAATATATAAAGCCTTCTAACATTCAGGCTCTTCCTAGAAAAGTACTGCCATTTTATTCTTTTTAGACTTAAGATGATATTAATCAACCTTCATTATTGGAGAACTGTATTCTCTTTTGTTCTTTTGGTTTCTCTGTTTCATATTTGAATGAAGAATTAATGTGTGTGGTCTCAGTTATTTTATTCATTGGGAGAGGCACTGAGTTGGCAGGACACACAGAACAATACAGGTAGCTCAGTTAACGGCTTAATCTTATCCCTTATCATGCTTTAGACATCTCACCTTTTATTGTTCCACCAAGATTAATTGTGGGACTACCAGTATTTAAGCATTTAGAAACAAAGTAGTTCTGATTTCTGTTGTAAAGATATATAAAATATATAAGCTGCAAGAAAAGTAAATAAAACTAGTTATTTGTGGTGATATTAGGACAAATTAATATTTATAATTTCAAGTGTAATCCTTGAAAACCAAAGTCTTGCATCCAATATTTCATGGTTAAAACTCTTTGTGTTCTAGACTTATGAATCTGTAGTGATTACATACATGTTAATTGGAAGACTGTTAATATGAATGACTGAATAGCCTTACATTCTTTGGAGCAGAAGCTTTTTTTTCTTAGAGTTTCTTAATTGATTTTCTCTTCCCTACCCCAATCACCAACCACCATTATAAAGGTCTGCTATTGATCTTGAAGAGATGGCATCTGGTCTTAACAAAAGAAAAATGATTCAGCATGCTGTATTTAAAGAACTTGTGAAGGTAAAAGTATATGAAGATTGTACTGTGATTCTATACTCTGGATAAAAATATATTAGCACTACAAGTATTTCAGAATCATTTTTAATATGTTTTTATAGAATATTCATCTGTATTAAAATATTAATGAAAAGATTGTTAAGTAAAAGAATGTTAAGTTTTCTTAGAGACCTATTTTTATTATGGACTTTACTGAATACGGAATTCTGACTGCAGATATGAAGGTTTGTACTGTTCCTGCAAAAAATGCCAAAGCCAAGATACCATGAGTGAAACTTGACAACAGATTGATTGATGGGAGGACCTCTCTGAGATTTTCCTCTTTCACTGTCATGTTTTGCCTAGTGATGGCTCTGCTTTTATATGGCAAAGTCACATATAGCAAATATTCTTTTCTACACTATTCATTGTGTACAGAATTCCCTTTGCAAAGACCAAGTATCCCAATTCTTGCCTAGATTATGAACAATTTTGAATTAGTGAATATAGCTGGTTGCCCTGCCTTACCTTATTGCTGATCATGCAAATTATTGTGAAAATCTTAGAGCTTTAAAAAATATATATTGGCTCAACTGTAGAAGAAAAAAAGAAAGGAGCTGTTAAAAAGTTACTTCAGGCACAGTGGCTCATGCCTGTAATCACAGTGCTTTGGGAGGCGGAGGTGGGAGGATTGCTTGAGGTCAGAAGTTTGAGACCAACCTTGGCAAAATAGCAAGAACCAGTCTCTACANTGGAGTTTTGGTCTTGTTGTCCAGGCTGGAGTGCAATGGCGTGATCTCAGCTCTCCACAACCTCTACCTCCCACATAGCTGGGATTACAGTTATTCGCCACCATGCCCGGCTAATTTTTTTTTTTTTGTAGAGACAGGGTTTCTGATCTCAACATCCAGAACTCGGGTGATCTGCCCACCCCAGCCTCCCAAAGTGCTGGGATTACAGAGGTGAGCCACCATGCCTGGCCTGCCCATGTCTTAAGACCATGAACCTGTAAATATGACCTTAATTGGGGAAAAAAAATCTCTGCAAATATTATTAAGAAACTTGAGATGAGCTCATCTCACATTACCCAAGTAGATTTTATATCCTATGACCAATACCTTTACGAGAGAGACTAAGAGAAGACACAGACACAGAGGAGAAGATAATCTGAAAACGGAGGCGGGCTTTGGTGTTACAAAGTCAAAAGCCAAGAAAAGCCTGGAAGAGACACTTAAAGATTCTCCTCTTTTCAGCTTCCAATGACTCCTAACTGTCTTACTACCACAGTGCTGATTATTTATGACCAAAAATTATTTAACTTAAAAATAACCGAGACATTGTATTGAATGGGAATCAGTGGTATTGCCAGGTATCTCGTCCTTCTGACAATGGCCCACTGAATATTTAGATATAATACTAGTTAGGTAAGTGTTACTTCCAGTAAAATTAGAATCATAAAGAGCTCAGACCTATTTGGAATGCAGGTTTAGTTAAATCTGTCATGTAAAACTATCTTCACAGCTGAGATGCTGACTGAGGGCAAAGAGAATGTGGAATAAAAAATAGAAAACCAAGGTTATAAATAGCAACTCTAGTTAGATAAACAGAGATTAAATCCGTAGCTAACATTATTCTGGCAGCATTTCCCACCGTAATTACTGATTTTCAGAAAAGAGCAACCACAGAGCTCTCCCAGTTAGCAGGACTGCACTTTCAAATTTATTTTTCACAGTCACAGTGAAAAGACTGTCCTCCATACCTTCCTCCTAGGGTGAGTGAGCAGATCTGACATGATCAACCCACCCTAACATAGGAATCTCTATGAGCCTTTGGATACCTTCTGTTACGGTGTGTCAGGAAAATCTAGCATTTCGACTTCCCTTGGTGTAGACCATCTTTTTGTTTATGTTTCAGCCAACTAACCAAACAAACAGATCCCTTTCTAACTTCTCAAACTGCAACATCAAACTCAGAATCTCTGCTTACTAAACTCATGCCAATAAGCACATCTTGCTCCCATTCTATGTTTCTTCCACCATTACTTCACGTTGTTAATATTCATTTCCATACATATTCCTTGGATTTTTATCTCTATAAATTGGAAAAATAATGTAGTTGTCTTGGAGTTTAGCGCACGTCCTCATAGGTCACAGTTTGTAGATCTTCTTTAGTGGCCTGCTAAAACCTCAGTCTGGTTAGAAGTCTACAAACAAAGAAGGCTGATGGGAATAGGTCCTGAGGAAACTCAGTGTTATCTTGCATGACAACTAGAATAAGGTCTCACCATTCCTCAGGCAAAGCAGAGTTAATCCCTCAGAAAGAAATAAAAAGATTGATTTTTTTTGGCCACTGAGTCTAGTCAGCATTTAGGGGTTCAATGTCCCCAGTTTCCTCGGGTTTTCTCATATATCCCCATTTCAATTTTTAGAATCTTATCTTTTCTTAGCCAATGTCCTTACTTTCACAGCAGACATCCTATGAGGTTGGGAATTCATTGTGCCTTGTAACTTAGCCACTTGCAGAATAAGGCTTTGGGTTTGGTTTTCAGCAATCTAAGCTCTGCAGCTATAGAAGATAATAATTGCTTTCAGGGCAAACATGCACATTTTCAAGGCATTTATACAGCACCTGGGAATTTGAGTCACTGAGCTCATACTTTACTTTTATCACTTTGACTAGTACAATTCGGGGCCAGTCTCATTATGTACAGTAGTTTGACAAAAATATTCTAAGGTATCAAATACATGGTCACCCAGAATCTTGCCTTTTGTAGATTTTGAATAAGATTATCCAGTGATAATTTATCTATCTCTATTGCCACATCATGCCGTGGACTACCAATTCTATCTTTGCAACTGGAAATAGAGACATTAGTGCCATTAACTCTAATCATATTAGAGAACAAATGCCAGGAACCTCAGAACCAATTCAGCAAAAGTCATCATCTTTAAGCACTAATAGTAACAAACCCTATACCAGTTAGTGTTCTAGGAGCAACAGTTTCAATAGGATATATTTGATGGGAACGAAAGATGTGAAATTATTTTAAAGAATTGGCTTCTGCAACTGTGGAGGCTGGAAAGTCTAAAATGTATAGATCTGTAAGATAGGCTGATAGGTTAGAAATTCAGGAAAGAGTTGATGTTTCAGCTGGGCTCAGTGGCTCACGCCTGTAATCCCAGCACTTTGGGAGGCTGAGACAGAGAGATCATCTGAGGTCAGGAGTTCAACACCAGCCTGTCCAATGTGACAAAACACCGTCTCTACTAAAAATACAAAAATTAGTTGGGCATGGTGGTGCATGCCTGTAGTCCCAGCTACTCAGTGGGCTGAGGCAAGAAAATCACCTGAACCCAGAAGGAGGAGGTTGTAGTGAGCCGTGATTGTGCTACTGCTCTCCAGCCTGGGTGACAGAGCAAGACCCTGTAACAACACAAGAAAAAAAAAAATGCTGCAGTCTTGAGTCTGAAATTCACAGGGCAGACCAGCAGGCCAGGAGCACAGGCAAGATTTCTACGTTGCAGTCTTGAGGCAGAATTAATTCTTCTTTGGGAAACCTCAGTCTTTGCTCTTATAGCCTTCAATTGATCAGAGGAAGCCTACTCACATTATGAGAGTGAATCTGCTTTAATTGAAGTTTACTGATTGTAAACATTAATGACATCTAAAAAATAACTTCACAACAATATCTAGACTAGTTTCTGACCAGCCAACAGAGCACCATATTCTTCCCAAGTTGACAAATAAAATTAATCATCTCATTTTATATCCTATATTAAAGATCAATGCTTACTTTTGTTGTTAGTATACTGGGCATTCAGAAGTGAGCTACCAGGTTGGGAGGATGAAGCAGGAGGATTCCTTGAGTATAGAAGTTCAGGCCATTCTGGACAACACAGCAAGACCCCATCTCTCAAAAAAAAAATTAGGTGGGTATGGTGGTGCATGCCTGTGGTCCCAGCTACTCAGTAGGCTGAAGTGAGAGGATCACTTGAGCCCGGGAGATTGAAGATGCAGTGACCAATGATCATGCCACTGTACTCCAGCCTAGATGACAGAACAAGACTCTGTTTCAAAAATAAATTTAAAAATAAAAATAAAAATAAATAAATAAATAAAAGAAGTTGTAGCAACCAGAATTGTCTCTGTGAGAAAAAGTCCATGTCTCTTTGAGAAAAAAACTTTTGAGCCCAAGTATAAACCCTAGACATGCCACTGTGGCCATTTGTCTTTGAGCCCATGAGCAAACATTGAGATGCCTATACAAAACAACTGACTTCCAAAAAATAGATCATCATAGTCACCTTAATATGGAGTCTCCTTTGTGGAATGGATCTTTCAATGAATATTCAGGTGAGATAAAAATATTACTCGGGTCCCATTTCGAGATGCCCACCTATAAAGTTGAGAAAACACAAACTTCCTTGTCACCATTTCTCCAATGCTAACATTTTTCAAGTTTCTGATTGTTAAGCCAAAACATTAGGCAAGGTGCATCAAACAGTAAAATTTTGCACCTCTCCTGTGGGAAAGCAGGATCACCAGATGTATTAGTCTATTCTCTCATTGCTCTAAAGAACTACCTGAGACTGGGTAATTTATAAAGAAAAGAGGTTTCATTGACTCACAGTTCCACAGACTGTACAGAAAGCATGGTGAGGGAGTCTTCAGGAAACTTACAATATGGTGAAAGGCAAAGAGGAAGCAAGAAAGCCCTTATATAGCCAGAGAAGGAGGAAGAGAAAGAAGGGGAAGGTCCTACTCTTTTAAACAACCAAATCTCAGGAGAATTCACTCACTATCATGAGAAGAGCAAAGAGGAAGTCAGCATAGTTTTGTTCTAAGACAGCAGAGGGTCCATATGGCATTGTAGATTTTCTAGTAATAAAATCAAGTTATCTGAATGATCTGAAGCAAGATTCACTGAAGAAATAAGGAAGTTATTATCTTGGAACTCATACAAAGCTGACATCCTTAGGAATTACACCTTAAATGCATGCAGTGAGCACAACCAATGTGAAATTGTCTCCAAAATGCAGAGAGCCACTAGGAATAGAGGCAAAGAGTATGTGATGCAAAAACTTATCCATGCATCCTAGACCACTACAGCCTCAAATACTTGAGTAGATTTTCAGGTGGTTTATCTCTTATATACTCTTGATCGCTGTGTTTCTTACCAGGACATCTAGAATACTTGTATTTCATCCTCACAGGGTCCTATTATTTATTGTCAAGATTCCATCAATAAATAAATACTCTCTGAGAGGATAAGGTGATCATGCTGTTTAAAGAGATTTAATTATGATAAAAAGTTGAAAAACTGGCTTAGCTCAGAGTGAATACAGAAAAGATTTATAATTGTTATTTTCAAATAAAATTGTTTCTGATGTTCTAAGCTTAATGGAATAAAAATTAATTATAAGAATAGTACCTCTGACATGATTTATTTTCTCTAAAAAATAAACTATATCTTGAATAATAACTAAAATTTGAGTCACTACTTGCTCTTACACAAGACTCAGCTGTTACTAGCTGTGGTCAAGCAGCCATATTGCAAATCAATGTCAGAAGATAGGGATGTCAGTAACATGGCAGAATCAGAGATTTCTACCATCATCCCCCAAAAGACATATCAATTTTGTCAACTACCCATGAACAAGCATACTTTTCCGGGAGTCTAGGAATCCAGAAATGTTCCAGCACACCACTGAAGCAAAATATCTGAGAATAAATACATTGGAAAGGTTAAGAACAGTTTCACTCTTCTCAAGTCACCACTCCACAAAAGTGTCACAGTTCAGCACAAAGAGAGATCTCCTTGGCCCACATTTCTTCCATAGGAGAAAGTAGTAGCCTGATAAGTAAGCACCCATATGAGATGTTTTTCAAGAGGCCCACATGTTTGTTGTTTCACACAGAATTCTGAGTTGACTGGCATGGTTGAATGATTAAGAAAGGCTGACAGCAGGAAACAGTGGCTACAGAACCTACTTATCACTCAACAGACTCCATAAGGAAGCCCACCCATGAACTACCTGGGAAGTCTCACCTATTGATTCTCCCTCACGATTGGTTTGTGGACACTTTATAGGTTCCATTGTCCCTCACTTATCTATCCCCAGTCCTGCTTACTAAACATGTCCTTGTAGTCAGTGAGTGAAAGTGTTTTGTGCAGACAGTCAGCTTGACAATGCAGGTTTAGAAAATGCACAAATTTGAGCATTTCAGGGGACTGACTCAGTGAAAAAAAAAGAAAAGCTCTCAGCACTCAGCCTGGATTTGTAAGATCTAGAGAAGGCATACAATCTTAAGAAGCACCCCCTGAGAAAGTATAAGATTTGGGGAGAAGGTATAGCCATAACAAAATTATGAGATTCCCCAAATCTCTAACCAGACTGTTTGATAAAATTGTTTCTGTCCTGGAAACAGTCAGTAGAAACTGGAGAAGGTAAGTTTATATTCAAATGCAAAAATAACAATAAAACCCTTTAAGGAAAACAAAAAATCAAGGAAATATGGCAATATCAAGGGAAGATAATAGTATTCCAGCAAGCAGCCCAAAAGAAATGTAGATATGCTTGTTGCCTGACAAAACATTTAAAGTAATTGTTTTGAGGAAGCTCAACTAGCTACAAGAGAACAAAGACAGACAAGTCAATAAAATTGAGAAAAAACAAGGCAAGAACAAAATGAGAAGTTCAATAAAGAGAACAAAATCATAAAAAATAACCAAACTGAAATTTTGGAACTGAAAAATACAGTAAATAAAATGAAAAATGCAACAGAGAATAACAACAGCAGACTTGATCAAGCAGAAAAAAATATGTGAACTCAAAGACAGTTAATTTGAAAATCAAAGAAAAAAGAAAAAAAAGAATGGCAAAAAATGAAGAGCATCTTTATAATTTATGGTACACCATCAAGAAAGCTGATATTTAAATCTAGATATGTCAGAAAGATAAGAGAGAATAAAAAGGGCAGAATAACTTATTTAAAGTAATAAGCATTGCCGAGGCAGTTCTAACTACACCGATATAAACAGGACTGCAGGAAAAAAAAAAGGAAAGAAAAAGAAAAGAAATAAGCAGCCTGGTGCAGTGGCTCACACCTGTAATCCTAGCACTTTGGAAGGCCAAAGTGGGTGTATCACCTCAGGTCGAGAGTTTGAGATGAGCCTGACCAAGGGAGAAACCAAATCTCTACCAAAAATACAAAATTAGCCAGGTGCGGTGGCTCATGTCTGTTATTCTAGCTACTCAGGAGGCTGAGGCAGGAGAATCACTTGATCCCAGGAGTCAGAAATTGCAGTGAGCTGAGATGGTGTCACTGCACTCTAGCCAGAGTGACAGAGACAGACTCCATCTCAGAAACAAAACAAACAAACAAACAAACAAAAAAGTCTTTCCAATCAATTCGACCCACAGAAGAATACTCCAAGAGATATAACAGTAAAAAATCAAAGACAAATGAGAATTTTGAAAGCAGCAAGAGAAAAGAGGTTTCTAACATGCAAGGGATCACCTATAAGTCTACAGTGGATTTATCAGCAGAGACATAGCAGGCTGAGAGAGCTAGGAGGATAATATAGTCAAAGCACTGAAAGAAATTTAAAAATTTCCACCATGAATACTTTCTCCAGCAAAACTATCTTTCAGAAATGAAGAGGATAAAGATATTCACAGAAAAGCAAAAGCTGAAGTAGTTCAATTATATCAGACTTGCCTTATAAGAAATGTTCAAGGAAATTATTCAAACTGGAACAAAAATATGTTAATTAGTAAAACAAAAATATTAAAAGTATGAAAACTACTGGTAAAAGTAAGTATATAGTCAAAGTCAGAATACTGTAATACTGTAGTGCTATTATAGTATGTGTACAGTGTATGTGTAAATCACTTATAGCGCTAGTATAAATATTAAAAGACAAAACTACTAAAATAATAGTTACAAAAATTTGTTAATAGATACATACTATTAAAACATTTAAGTTGTGACATCAAAAACATAAAATATGGGGAGGCAATGAAGTAATAGTATAGAATTTTTGTAGGCAATAAAAGTTGTTAGCAGCTTAAAATAGACTATATAACTATAAATCGTTTTAGGTAAATATTATAGTAGACACAAAGTAAAAATGTGGTAGATATACAAAATATAGAGAGAGGAATCAAAGCATGCAACTACAGAAAATCATCAAATCACAAAACAAGATAGCAAGAGAGAGAGAAAAAAGAACAAAGATCTACAAAATGGCCAGGAAATAATTAATAAAATGGCAGTTGTAAGTCCTTACCTATCAATAGTTATCTTGAATATAAATTGATTATTCAATCAAAGAGATAAAATGACTGTTTAACAAACAAACAAACAAA